TGTGTGTGTGTGTGTGTGTGTGTGTGTGTGTGTGTGTGTGTGTGTGTCAGCTTCACTCAGCTGATCAGAGGCTCCCACTCCACTGCAGAGAGTTTGTGAGGGGAGGGGCGGGCTCTCTGTTTGTGACTGGCCAATCACAGCTCGTGAAGACAGTCAGTTACCCAATGAGAATCTTCCTTTACAACGAGCACAGATACTGACCAGCTTTATTCGGTTCCTGCTCGTACTCATCAAAAATGCATTATCCGTAACGAATACTCGTCTGAAACGAGTATACAAGTCAACCCTAGTGTTTTAGTGTTTTCACGTGTGTGGCTCACCATTCGTGCAAAACAAACAGACAGGATCCCACTGCCGGAGCCCACGTCCAGAGCCTTTGCTCCTTCGTACAGCTGATCGTGTAGCAGCTCCAGTGCATAGGCATGCTTGGAAACAGAAAAACATACATTATATTCATGTTCTGCTTGCTCTACAGTGTCAACAATAAACAACCTTCTGTCAGAGCAAGTGTAGAAACGTAAAATTCATACCATATGTGGGGCGCTGATGGTTGCTTGATAACCTTTTGGTTAAAAGAGAAAGAAAGGTTTGGTGAGTTCAGCCGTCAGATTTTAACTGGATCAATAAATCTATGAGCGAGTTGCACCTATTGACTGTGGTGAGTCCATGTAAGGGTTACACCTGGAGTAGTGCACTCTGTCTGTGACCAGCATGACTTCAAACACCTTGTCCGATTTAATAATGCCATTTTCTGAAGATGAAAAACAAACAGAGTCAGAGAGGCCTTATGTAACCCTGCAGCAGAGACAGCAAACAGATAATTAAATTCASAAACATGAGGCATGTTGAAACAAAACTAACACTACTACTATCTGTAGCTATTTGCTCTTATATCATTTGTTACATTAAACCATCACTGGCATCTTTACGACTCCAGAAGCAGACATACTTCAGCAGCCACAGGAAGTTGCTCCTACCAGTCCTCATCAAACTCTTTAACTTGTTCCTAAAATGTGAAACTTTGTGGCTTTATTCAATCTGTGCATTTAATTTTAATCAAATGATACTGCTCAAACATGCATCATCTTATTTGGAACATTTATATTAATATTATCTAATCATCTGGGACGCTTACTTATGTGCAGTATTTTACACCTAACCCTATCTATATTTTTATTTTATATTGTCTATATTCATTAAAGCTTATTTATATAAACTAAACTTCCTATATTTCATACCGTACATATTTCATAAGGCTTTTTTCCTCAGTGTGTTTTATTTTTTTATTTTAWTTACTTTTAAAGTAGAGCAGAGGTATCTTTGTTTCTCTGCTCCAACAGTTCATTACCTTTTCAAACTCTGTTAATCATCCAATCAGGTAAATCAGGGAAAACCTGCTGGACGGTGGTCCTCAAGGACCAGAGTTTGACTCCTATGATTTAGAGCAGTGGTTCCCAACCTTTTTAGACTTGTGTGTACCCCTGAGCCCTTTGTCATGTAAGACCCCCTCAGTCAATCGCAATGACGATTCTCCAAAACTATCATTTACAAAAACTGATTATTAAATTAAAACTTTATTTAAATCCCTGATCTAGAACATTTAATTCTCAAGCATGTTATTCTTTTCAACTCAAAAGATAAATATGTTGCCTAGAAAGTGAATAAGTAANATTTAAATCCCTGATCTAGAACATTTAATTCTCAAGCATGTTATTCTTTTCAACTCAAAAGATAAATATGTTGCCTAGAAAGTGAATAAGTAATTAAATAAATAAACCAGGTAATGGCAGGTACAGGAAGCGGCAGCATCAAAAATGCATCAACCACTTGTCCAATAAGCAAATTCCTTGAGATTCCATTTTGTTTAGTGAATTCTGTGATTATGTCTGCATAGGGACCTACATATCCCTGTATTATTTTAACTATTTTTTTTACATAACTGGGAAATTTTTTACGTACCTCCTGTAATAAGCTGTAATAAGCTCAGGTACCACGAGGGGTACAC